TATATATATATATATATATATATATATATATATATATATATATATAATTAATATTAATAATAAAATATAGTTAATATTATAATATTATAATATAATATTATTCTTCCTTTTTTTTTTAATTTTTTTTTTCGATAATTTGATAATATTATGACTTTATATTAATATTTAATTTATTTATAGGATTTATATAACATATTAATATATTAATATTATTATACAATATATTTATATAAAATATTAATAAGTTATAGAAGAAATTAATATACTCTAGTATATTTATATTATTATTATAAGCAAATAATATATATATATATATATATATATAAATTTATTATTATTATTTAATATAAAAACTATTATTATTTTATTAATAAATACTTATTACTACTACTATTATTAATTTAAATAAAATAACAATTCTATTAATTGTTATTAATAAAATATATAATCTAGAAAATAGATGGGAACACAGTAGGAATCTCGTTAATTTATGATCATCGTAAAAATGAAAATAGAAAAAATATTATTTGAACTAATAACAATTTATTGATAAAAAAAAATTGTTTCATAAAAGAAAATTCTTCCTATTTTCATTTTTCATTTTTCATTTTTCATTTTTCATTTTTCAATATTAAATAAAAGAATACTTGTGTCTACTATCATAAACCAAATAGAACAAAAAAGGTGTGTTTTTGAAATTTTAGTTTTGTTTCTTGTTGTTGATATTTTTAAAGAATTAAAAAACAAACAAATAAATATAGGGGATTTGTGAAATTAATCTCTCGAATGATAAATTGTTCGAGGCGAATTTTGCTTGGGTCGGATTCGTTCTTCTTCTTCTTCTTATTTTTATTCTTCTTCTTCTTCTTCTTCTACTTCTACTTTTTATTTTTCTTTGCTTGGCAAGCCAACAAATGATAGGTTTCTCTCCACCATCATATTCTCTCTTCTCTTCTCTTTCTCTTTCTCTTTCTCTTTCTCTTTTTTTTTTTTTTTAATTTCTTTCTTTCTCACAAACGCTTAACTCGTTCTTTTGTAATAAAAGCGGTCTTAAGCTTTGCACGATAATCTCGTTTGAAGATTGTGTTGTATTTCGTCGGGGGATAATACGGGTTTTTTTTTTTTTGATTCGATGAATGGAAAAACTTTGGAATGGTGAGAAGAGAGAGGGGAAGAATATCTTAAACACCTCGTCGTCTTGTCTGACAAAAACAACGACAACAACAACAAAAACAACAAAAAATATTTTTATGACACAGATCAACCAACACTTGAATTACCAGATGTTTCTTGTTGTTTATTTGATTTTTTTTAATTTTTTATTTTTTTTTTTTTATTGGGAATATCTTAAACAACACGTTGTCTTGTCTGATAATAACAATAACTATTAACAACGATGGACAAAGAAAGAAAATTAATCAAAAAAATATTTTTTATGACACAGATCAATCAACACTTGGGTTACGAGATGTTTTTTGTTATTTATTTGATTTTTTTTATTTTATTTTCTATAGGTTGGTTGAAAAAATAAAAACGAGAAAATATAAATAAATAAATATAATAAATAAAATAAAAAGAAAAAGACAATAGTAAAGTTGTTTGAGAAAATTAGATTTATTGATACGAGTGATGAGAAAAAATGACGACGATATAAATACACATGTGTTCTGTATGTTTGTATGTTCGTGTTTGTGTGTGTGTGTGTCTATATATATATCGTTGTTTCGTGATTTATTGATAACCGTTGAGATTAATCATTTTAATTGCACACACGCAATCGTTCATATCGATTTAGGATTTCTCTTACGATATGTAAAACCATAATAATCATAGTCACGTTTAATACATAAATGCATACAACCGCATATTCATCTGTGCACATTAAATTTTTCTTTTTATAAAAACGTTCAATATATTATATGTTTAAGATTTTTAAAATAGCGTTATTATATTTATAATAATTATTTAAATCATTTTCTTTCATCTTATTTATATTTATTGATTATTTAATTCAGATATATTTGATTATTAAATAAATATTATTTTTATATATGAATATATATTGAAAAAAAAAATAAATATTTATAATATAAATAAAATATTTATAAATATAAATGTATAAATAAATATTATTTTTATATATAAATATATATAATTAAATTTTTTAAATTTACAATAATATTAATATTACTATAATTATAATAAATAACTAAATAACTAACTATATATATATTTATATATATTAAAATTATATTATTGTATATATTTATTTATAATATTTATATAATACTTATAATTATATAATTATAATATATTATATATATATATATATAATATAAATAAAATATTTATAAATATAAATATAAATATATAAATAAATATTATTTTTTACATTCGTGTACTTTTACAAAGAATTGTTGTCTAATCATATGTTTTATTATTTTGAAATTTATTATGTTATAATATTTTATATTATTATATATTATATTATTTATTATATTATATTATTAATTTTTGTTGTTATATATGTAGCATTACACACAATATATGTGTAGCATTACGTAGATTAGATTTTTTGTTGTTCTGCTATCTTCTTATCGTTTCATCTCTTTCTGTTTTCTTATCATTCTCTTTCTCTCTTCTTCTCTCACACTGTATTTTTCTCTTTTTTTTTTAATTCACTTTGGTTGTTTTTAGCAAAAATTGGGTTTGCAATTATAACACGTTCGTGCAATAAAACTGATTAGTTATC